CTTTTTAATAATGTTACCCAATGGAAGCCGATACAGAGTGAAAAGAACCGGTCCAAGAACAAAACCCTGAGGAACTCCATGACTGTGAAATAACTGGACTCTGGCAGATAAATCTGACTTAAACCAGGTGGTTGCAGCCCATTTAATCCCAAAAAATTTCTGTAAAAAAGGATCACAAAGCCAAGCTGAAAAACTCTTCCCAAAACTTTAGACATAACATATAGGCCCAAAATGGGATAAAATGCCAGGATCCAGAGAAGTTTTTTCAAGGAAAGGTGTTTTAAAAAATATCCTGTCAACAGAGACAGATCCCTAAAAGTCTATTGGGATTCTGTTTAACCCTTTAAAGCCTGGTCCAAGAAAAATAGGAAGAATATTGGATTTTTTAAAGTCTGAAGTCTTTCTTTGGCCCCTCAACAACATATGAAGAAAAAAAAACACAGAAATTATTTTGATCAAATTAGCGTGCAATAAGTCAAAAATATATGTTGGTGTAGTCTTCTACTGGCTGTTATCAGGTATATCTGAATGTGTACAACAGGGGTTTGAGCAAAGCTTTTACCACTGAATGATGCAGAAAGTCTCAGATCCAAAAGACTTCAGAAACTGTATAAATCAGATATGACACATTTGACATTATAGGGTTAAAAGAAGTTGATGGTTCAAAAGAAGCTATTGTTGATGTTGGATCAGAGAGACTCTAAAGATGATAGTGATAGTTCAGAGTGACAAAAGTGGGCTGGATTCCAGGGATCATTTATCTCAGAACAACTTTATTGGTAAAGAAGCTCCCAAAATCTAGATGGTTGAGATTGTTGGTGGAACGCATAGCTCTCAGACTCTTTGTCAGCCAGGATTCAGAGCTGAAAGATATCAGGGATTGTTCCTCGTTTCTATAATTCTATAATAAGCGGCTTTAGCTTTATGAAGGAATGGACTGGATTCGACTAGACATGTGGAGATGGCAGATGGCCGCCCACCCTGAGCCATGGATCTGCTCGAGGTTTCTGCCTGTTAAAAGGAAGTTTTTCCTTGCCTGTGTCGCCTAGTGCTTGCTCATGGTGGGAATTGTTGGGTTTCTGTAATTAACTTCAGAGTAGGTCTGACCTGCTCTGTTTGGAAAGCGCTGTGAGATAACTGTTGTTGTGATGTGGCGCTATATAAATAACATTTAATTGAGTTAAATTAAATTGAATTGTTGTAAATGAGAGGAAAACCATATTCTTTTCAGCTTTCTTGTAAACTGCTTGGAGGGTAATATTATAAAACGATGGAGTCAGCATGTCTCAGAGAAGTTCATTAGTACAATTAAACTTTCAGACATTTTTTTAATCAAACACCCCAAACTGAAGCCTGTTTTATTTGTTCAGGTTTAAGATCTTCTCCAACCAGTCAGCTCTGGAGTCTCTGGCCGTAAGTGTGTCTTTATTTCCGAGTTAAAATCATCTCCCTATCCCAAATGTTCCCTATGTGGCTTACAGCTTTTTGTCTGTTTCCCAGCTCATTCCTCTGCAGGCTCCCCTGAAGACGATGCTGCAGATGTCCGTGGTTCCTCTGATCAACAGTAAGAACACGTTCCTGGCCTTTGAAATGTGGGGGAACCCGTCCTGAGGAGGTTTTTCTGTGTCCCTGTGCTCAGACTGGACAAAGAGGGGCGTCCGGATCCCGCTGGCCGACGGGATGGACTTCGTGGAGGAGGTGGTTGAGTATCATAACGTGAGTATGATCCCAGATATTAACAGTGGGAGAAAAAAGTATTTGACCCCTTGCTGATTTTACAGGTTTGCCCACTTACAAAGAATGCATAGATCTATAACTTTAATCATATGTACATTCTAACAGTGAGAGACAGAATCCCAAAGAAAATTCCAGAAAATCACATCATATGAATTTATAAAAATTGATAACCATCTGAAGAGGAAAAATAAGCATTCTTTGTAAGTGGGCAAACCTGCAAAATCAACAAGGGCTCAAATACTTATTTCCCCCACTGTATACCACTGGGCTATACCACTGGCAGCTCATTGAGGAACATTCTCCTTTAAAGTTAGAAGCTATTTCATATTTTTCCCAGTTTTTTTTTTATTATCAGTAAGCTTTAATTTTTATTTATTGTTGGCCATGATCTGGATGTCTATTTCATTAAGTTCGGGATAAAGTTTGAGATATTCCAACCGACCTTCATCCCCCTGTGGCTACACAGAGTGATGGTGACTCTATGTACAGTGGGGGAAATTTTGCAGGTTTGCCCACTTTCAAAGAATGCAACGATCTATAACTTTAATCATATGTACATTCTAACAGTGAAAGACAGAATCCCAAAGAAAATTCCAGAAAATCACATCATATGAATTTATAAAAATTGATAACCATCCGATGAGGAAAAATAAGCATTCTTTGTAAGTGGGCAAACCTGCAAAATCAGCAAGGGGTCGAATACTTATTTCCCTCACTGTAGTCATGACGATATGATGCTGGGTTCATGATTAAAGCCGACGTACACGGTGGGATGTTAATGCAAAACTGATGGCCGTATTGGCTTCCTATTATTGGTTTCCTCCAAATGGTCCAAACACGCCGTCTTCTGTTCTTTTTAAAGCTACTTGTTCGACTTTGTCTTCTAATTCAATTATTTAGAGATGTTAAATTAATCTAGTTTTTGTCCGTTCAGAAGCGCTCTTTTAAAAAAAAGCTGGAATAAAAACAGTGCAGCTTCATTCCAGAGATACTTACCACAAAAAGAATATATATTTATTCATGTTTTTGGAGGAAAAGATTCCAGTTTAAATCCACATTGAGAACCGTAGCTGCTGTTTATTGGTGCACATGTGATTAGATTTGATTCATTTGGGTTTTAAAGTGTTCTTCCCCGTCTTACCTCGGATCGATTAAATGAGAACAGAAACCGTGAGCTTTGACCTTTGAACCCTACGATTTGGTGGTGGTGGTGAGGTGGTCAGCACCATGGCCTCACAGCAAGAAGGTTCTGGGTTGGAGTCCCCGGGGGAACCAGGACCAGAGGGTTCTGGGTTATAGTTCCCGGGGGAACCAGGACCAGAGGGTTCTGGGTTGGAGTCCCCGGGGGAACCAGGACCAGAGGGTTCTGGGTTGGAGTCCCCGGGGGAACCAGGACCTTTCTGGGTGGTTCTGCATGTTCTCCTGTGTCTGTGGGTTCTCTCCGGGTTCTCCGGCTTCCTCCCACCCTCCAAAAACCTGCATGTTAGGTTGTTGGACTCCAAACTGCCCTTAGTGTGAGTGTGTGTGGTTGTTGGTCCTTGTGTGTCTCTGTGTGTCCCTGTGATGGACTGGGGACCGTCCAGGGGGACCCCGCCTCTCCCCATTGGCTACTGGGATAGGCTCCGCCCCCCCGACCCCATTAGGGGATAAGCTGTAATGATAATGGATGGATTTGGTGGTGCAGTTTTAGCTAGGAGCAGATATTGGAAATGGTGTACGACGGCTTTAGCTGGGACTGTGGAATCTTTCCCTCTGAGAGCGTAAACATCTCTGAGAGTCGGTTTTCCTCTGATTCAGGGCTTCATCGTGATTGGAGCAAATCTTCAGTTCAGCAAAGGCCTGAGAGAGATGATGTCCGGGAGCGTGGAGGCGGAGACCTCCAACAGCCTCTAAACGCATAGAGGAAACACACTCACACACTCTGAGATACACAAAAACACCAACCAAGAACTCTCTGACAAAACACACGATTAATATATACAGCATAACAATAAATCACACACACTGTATACAGGAGTAGATCAATACTTTGTTATATTTGAGGGAATGGCCCTTAAAAAAAATCTGTAGTAGACATATTAGATGATTTAATCAGGATACAGAAATATAATGAAAACATCGATATTTATCCACGTTATTCTGTTTATTCTGTGACGTTTACAAAGACACTGAAACTTCTGTCTATGTGCAATAATAATTTATCTAACCGCAGCTATGTATGGGACAATAAACAGGCTTCCACTGATGGTAGCAGATGGGGAAAATCTTCTCATTCGACAGGATTTATGGCTCATGGAGACCAGCAGAGTACTGGGCTCTGACTGAGTCCTGCATTCATCTACAGCAGAGTTTTGCATCCATAAATAATTTGTACAGTTCAATTAGCTTCTGTCACTCTGGCCAAAGAAATACAAATACAATAGAGAAAAAAATAGACCACTGGGATAGGCTCCAGTTCCCCCCGCGACCCCATCAGGGAATAAGCGGTATTGATAATGGATGGATGGATGGATGGAAGAAATACAATAAAGGAAAAAGGTAAAATGGTGCAATTTCATCAGATTTAGAGACTCAGACTTGTATTTTATTGATCCCTTGGGAAGACTCCCTCGGGAAATTAAAGATCAGGATGCAGAATATCTGAATGAGCACTCAATCCAGAACAATTGAGTGCTGAAGACTGAAAACTGAAACAGAATAAAAACAATACAATCATCAAGCATGACAGAAAATAGAAGTGTATATATATATATATATATACACACATTTATTTCTTTAGTCAGAAGGACAGATCTGTTTGATGTCTGTGTATCTTCTGCTGAGTTTCCCCTTATTCTCGCTATATTCTAAAAAAAAGGTTTACAAAAACAGAAGAGATTGCAGGAGCTTTAAGTTTGTTCATACCCAGAATCCACACCCACTTCCTGTTTACAGGCAGTTAATCAAAAATTGTACCGTCCTCTGTTTGTGTGACCTGTGCATGTGTCAACAAGACCTCACACAGGTTAATATTCTACATGTGGGCCGATCACTCCCCCATTTCTGAGAGACACCAACGGCCTCCGTCTGCTCTACAGGAGAGTTAATAACACGGAAATCTGTAACCATGGCAACTACACAAAACGGGATGTATATAGATAAAAATGTCATGCATATTTGTATGTGAATGAGAAACCTGTAATTGTCAAAATGAATAATACTTTGATCAAAGTTGGTTTTTCTCTGGTTTATTGATCTTGATTTGTCATTTTGTTTGAACTGTATCCCACAAACACACAATTCATTAACCCGGTTCATTCAATTGGTTCTTCACTATTTCTTCTAAATAAAACAGATTATCTAGTCATTAAGAAAGTAAAAAAATCAGACACAGGAAATCAGGTTGACTTCTTTCTAAATGAAGTAACTGATGTACTAGAAATCCATATAGAGGGTTTGGAGCCAATTAGCAAAAAAAGGAGGAAATGGTGTAGTTTTATACAAAACGTGTATCAAGTTCAGAGCAACATGTCAAAGAAATAAGGCAAGTCTATCAAAGAAGCTAAGATCTGGGCTATGAGGCAACAGGAGACAAAAGGCTTGGAGCTATAAATACAGAAATCATACTTCCCAGAGGGGTTTTATGCATCCCAGTGTTTGTCCATTCAAATTAAGAGCAAATGTTTATGGGAGAATAGATATTGATCCACTACCTCAGACCATTTGAGCAGATTCCCTTTGAGTTTTAGACTGTAGACTTTAAAATGAAGATTGTCCATTTGTTGAGTTTGCTGATGCACCACCAACATGGACAATTAAATACAGATTGGAAGACACCAGTTCCAAGTAGTACTTAACCCAATAATGCCAAATGTATCATATTTGATTCAAACGATTTCTGAAGTCTTTTGGATGTGAGACTTTTTGCATTATTCAGTAGTAAAAGCTTTGTTCAAACCCCTGTTGTACACATTAAGATATACCTGATGACAGCCAGTAGAAGACTACACCCAAATATTTGACTTATTGCACACCAATTTGATCAAAATTGGTGTTTCTTTACATGTCAAAGGGCCCAAGAAAGACTTCAGACTAAAAAAAATATATATATATTTTCCCCATTTTTCTTGGATGAGGCTTTAAAGGCATCCATGCATGTGGTTGTAAAATGTCCACTATTCTCTTTACGGACTAGAGACAGCTTTGGCCAGTAGTCCAAAGTTGTTCATTCAATAAAGTAGAAACAGTCAAGCATTGGAGTTTGATCATTTTATTGGAGGATTAAAAGCATGAAGAGTCAACGCCAACATCCAACCTGGAAGGAGAACCGAGTTAGTTTAAGCATCCACATGTAGAAGCCATTTGCTGTGGCCCTTTCTGAGCATACTGTACCTTTTACTCACTACGTCGACCAGCTCTCAGAGACCTACTGAGCTCCTGGGAAGAACTTTTTCTGCTGCCCAGAGCCGTCACCATCACCGACGTGCTCTTTCAAGTAGTGGATTTCCTGAGAGTAGTCCTTGCCTTTCTCGTTCTGTTGTCTGAAGGTGCTGTAGGTTCCAGGAGGGTACCGACCATACAGGAGCCTGTAGTCAAAGTTGGGGTACGGAGAACCTCGGAAACCACCCACACCGAACTGGGGTACGAGCACGGTCGGATATCCAGGTCCAGAGACCTGGAGGTCGTCTGGGTAGCCGAATTCCTCGGTCTGCTGCTGGTAGTTTCCCAGTTCAGCTTCCTTCACAACACTGGAGGTCTCCCCCGACTGGAGGACGGGTCCAGATTGAGGCAGAGAGGGGGCAGGAAGAACATCCCCAAGGTTTAGGGCCTGGGCGTTTCCTGATGCATCCAGACCAGAGAAGTCCTGGGGGGAAACAGCCCAGGCAGTCTCTGGGTATTAGAGGAAAAATTCAGGATTTAGAAGTTCATTTATCAACTCATTCGCTGCCAAAGACGTCTATAGACATCAATTCAAATCCAACCGCTGACTGCTTTTATGTTTTTCAATGCGAGAGGCTTGGGGAACGATCGGCGAAGGTTTTTCCGTAAATATCGGCTTCTAGACAGAGTATGTAGTAACAAATTTACCCTCTAGGGGGCAGTGCCACTTTTGATGGGAGATGAGCATAGACTGTAGGCAAATAAAAATGCAATGGTTTGCTATGCGAGAAATGGCGACGGTGAGACGCACGTTGAACGGAATAAGGTAGAAACACATTTTTTTTCCTGATGAAAGAAGAAGAGTCTACTCTTTCTTTTGGGGTGTTCGGTGTTTACATAGTCATAGCACAAACTATTCTGTGGCTCTTGAAAAATCAGTCAAAATGCTCAAAAAACTCTGGCAGTGAGCGACTCTGTTCTGAAAATGGCTGCCAGTCAATGAGTTAAATGCAAGACCACTGGACCAGGTCAGAGACATTACCTTCCATTCCAGATGGGTCTCCAAGGTTAGAGGACCCAGAATCATAGCCGACACCAACAGGGACATACGAGGCCACAGGGGCCGAGCTCAAGCCGACAAACGGACCCGGCTGAACAAGTTGAGGGACACCAGGGGCCTGCACAACTGCTTGAGCTGGTACAAGTGAGCCAGAGCCACCGAGTCTGGGGTCAGATGGAAATGTGGAGAAACCAGGAGCTTGTGCAACCACCTGCCCCGGAGCAAAGGAGCCGGTAAAACTTGGAGAAGCCACGAGAGACGGACTCAAGGCAGGAGCCACAGAGGAACCACTCGATCCACCGTAGGATCCAGATGCAGGTCTTCTCCGGTAAGAACCAGAGTTAGCGGCCGGATTTGAGCCACTGCTGCTCTGGTCCTTTGAGCCTGAGTGAAATAAAACAAGTTAGACAACGAACAATTGGGTACAACTGTATTGCGCTGTTGTCAGCATTATGCCCCTAAACACTTCTCAATTCACTGCTTTAAGAGGACAAAAATAGACAGACACTGTAAGTACAGTGAATACTTGCAAGGAGAGCACTGGAGACTTGACAATCTCCAACCTACTCTGAGCTCTCATCTCCTTTTATTTGGTTCTTACCACATCTTGTGACTTCACCTTCTCCAATGAGAGAAGTAGCATACATGATTGCACCCTTAGTATTAATACACATTGTTCTTAATCATAGGATGCAACTGGATTGACAGTAAAATAAAGTGCAGTTCTTCTGTTTCAGAAGGCCAAAAAGGACTGTGGTCACAAGGGTCACTACTGGGTCAGCTTCTCATATCTGCAAACCAACTTGTTCCTATGATGGTAATTTCTTGCCATCACACAAGCACAGTTAAACCTTCACATACGTTAGAGCAGTGTTTTTCAACCTTTTTGAGCCAAGGTACATATATTTCATAGAAAAAGTCCCGAGGCACACCACCAACCAAAAATGTCAAACAAATCTGTAGCCGCCTATAGTAACACTATAGTTATTCTTATCCTTATCTTAAGTGTCTTGAATCGGAATTAGATAAACACAAAAATGTATTTATCATATTTTATATTTCCTCTTTCAAATTGCACTCAACATGTCCACTTTAATATACAAAATTATATACAAAATCTAGTCATAAGGAATTATTACGCCACCAGTCACTAGAACAGCACAGACACTCAAAAATGGCATATTATTTGCAGATAATTCCTTATTAAAAAATCTTTTTAGACCAATTAGGTGAAATAGGATGATTTTCTACGGCACACCTGACCATCACTCTGATACACACTAGTGTACCGAGGCACAGTGGTTGAAAAATACTGCGTTAGAGAATGCATGATAACTTTTGTACAAATATTCTAACAGCTGTATTCAACAATAACTTACTCTACCCACCTTTAAAGGGAGCGCCACATGTAGCCACAATCAGCAAGGCAGAGAGGGGAACCCTGGGGGGGGAAGGAGTTCATACCATGTGAACAACAGAGTTTGTTTTATTTACAATCAGCTGTCTCAATGCAAACTTTCCAACATACCTCAGAAAGAACCCTTTAGTCATCATAGTGAAAGCCAAAAGTAAATAAAACAGCAAAGCAGAGGACTTATAAATGTGACTGGAGACCAGCCCAGACCAATCAGAACCTAATGGCCAAACTACAGACACCTGCCGCTCACTGAGTATGGGAGGA